TGAGATGGTGGAAGAATTATATCTCTGCGTCTAGTGTGAAGGTAAAAAACATCATGAGATCTTATGTGTCGTGCTCTTCTAGCAATTTGTGGCACTAGCTTATGTAACCTCTGAACTGGTGCTTCATCTTCTCTGAACCGAGCTTGATGAGCTCAGAAAACAGAGCAAGAAATGTAAAGTGATTAAGAAAGTAAAAGATGGTTAAATCTAAGCAAAAACCTAAACTCAATTATCTAACAATCCTAGAACGGCAACGGCACCAAATTAAAGAAAGACTTTTGAGTCACTAAATTTAATCCCTTTCTAAATCAGAAGTAGTATAGATGAAGTTTTATTAATCTATTTAGGAGCTAGAATAATTGAGATGCAAGGTACTAATTAAACTTAACAATGTATGATGAAGAAGAAAGATTCTAACAACCTAAGTGATCAAAGAAGAAATGCACAATCAAAAGGGAAATCTAGTAAGACTAAAGCAAGTAATGCAATACAAAGAGACTAAATGCAACAGAAACTAACTAAGACAATGATCTTTATACAACATGATTAAGGTAAACAAAGCAATATTAGGACAAAAACTAAGTTGAAAGCTAAATGCAATAACTTGAAATGCAAAGCAAGGAATGGAACAAAGCAAATCAACTGAAAACAGAGGAAAACAGAGCACAAGATGAAATTCAAAGAACAATAAAACGCTGATTCAAAGCTAGAACAATGATGACTTAGAGATTACTTAGTATCAAACCTAGGGTAGTCAAGACTAATAACAAGCAAGATTCATAATCAAGCCACTAATCCAATTAATTTGCAATTAGAGTAAAGATGTCTAAGTAATGCACATGTCAGACCCACTTGTGATGGCGTATCTGTACAAAACCAGTATGATAACACAAGATTCTTAAAGACCAAACAATGTACTAAAACGCAGTATAATCATCTAAGCAATTATTCCAAGCATAGTTCTTTCAGGCATTTCAACAAACACTTGTGAACCAGCAAACACCTATAATTTATTTCACTTAAACAAACTATTTAATAAGCCTTAAGAACAACTAAGCAAGATAAACCAATCAAGGATTAAACCAAAACTCCCTAAGCTATCAACTAATCATCTCCAAATCTGCTCCAACCTCAAACCCTATGAAACTACTCACTACACATCACCAAATCAACAAAAACAAGCAGAAAATATATATCAAACATGACTAAACAAAAACTAGAAGAAAAATAGCATAGAAAATGCAAAACTTTATTAAAAGAGTAATCTTGATCAAAAAATCTCATCAAATTCCCCTTTTGGGTTTCTCCTCAGGTCGAAAATAAAATAAAGAAGAAGATAAGTGCTAAAAAGATAATGTTTAGCTTAAATAGGCTAAGAAGATAAAGTCTAACAAAAAATATAAAAATCTTGGTCAACTCTCGACGTTGACACATCGTGGTGCAAGGTAATCTGCTCGATGTAGTCAGCTAGATATCAAGGTGGGTTCTCGGTGTTCTCCTTGATGCTACACCTCGATATGCCCTGTATATTCGTATCGGCCTGTACGGCATGCCTTACTCAGTGCACTACCTCGGTGCAGTCTCGGGATCCTCGGCCAAATCTTTCTTCTTCGTCCCACGCTTCACATCGAGCAAGCTTCACGGATGTTCTGCTCGATGCTGGACCTCGGTATGGATACAAAGTTTGCAAAACTGATTCTTTGTCATCTCCTTCGAACATTAGTTGCTTCCATCTCCTTTCCAACTTCAAAACTCTCCCAAAAACACGTAAAAGTCACCACAGACATACACATATATGCAAATATATGCAATCCTAAGCTAAATGCATGTCATGTTGATTCTAAGTGCAAATGACACTAAAATGTTAAATTATAATGCAAAAACAGAGGAAAATATGCATGAAATGCAACCTAATCTAATCTAATATAGCAAGCTATCAGCAGCATAACTTCCCACGCCCAGGCAAATGAATACCCGCCACGTGGATCCCACTCAATTGACGAGAGAACATCTCTATCTGCCCGGGAGAACTGCGAGCCATACCTCGAGAAAGTAGTCAAGGATGTCAAAGACCCTCCTCACCCTGAGGGAGTCAGAAAAAAAATGTTATCCCAACCAGCAACAAATCACAAGGAACAGTACGAATTCTTAAATTTTACAAGATTCAAATATCTCTCCACTGCGATCTCGCACCCTCCAGGGGCAATCTTCGCAGGCCCGTCCGCTGTTACTTATTCACGTGGGTGAGCTTGTTGTCACCTCATTAAGCATTTTTATACTTGCATGATTCCGTGTTGCATACTTGTGAGATTTCGTATTGCATATCTGCATAATATCATGTTGCATGTTTGCATAATTTCCTGCTTGCGTGACTGAGTGATACCATATTTCCATGATTGCGTGAATTCCTGATGGAATGATTTTGTGCTTGCGTGATTGCATAATTATTTCTCTGTCTAAGTCCTCGCGTGATTCATTACCTCTTTGAACCCTTGTTCGCATGTTTTACTTTGCTACGATTATTTGTCATCTTTCTATTAGTATTCAATCGCTTGCGTACATTTTACCCTCTGAGAGCATCACACAAAACCCATTTCCCATTAAAACCCTCGGTTCAAATTTTCTTCAGCTTGCTCCCTCGTAGACTCGCTTGCATTATGCGGCACAATTCCTCCGGGAATTCTGAACTCTAGTCCCACAGATTTTTGTTCATTTTTCCAACTCTTTCTGGGGACCACACAATTTTTTGATGTGTTCCTTCTGAGGACGCGTCAGCCTTATGGGGGATAATTTCTCCAGGAAGTGGGACTCCTGTCTCGCAGACCTCCAGGTGTTCCTCGCCAATTCCTCCAATGGACTGCCCAACCCTCAGTTTGCTCCTTCCAAGGATGTGCTTACCTTCTAGGGCACCCTTGGGGAATTGAGGTCACCCAATCCTTAGGGCTTTCACTTCCAAAACAAAATACCTTCCTACCACAATTCTAAAACCATAAAACTTTCCGCATAAGCACAATGTAAAGACTATCCAAGCATTTAGGGAGTTAGGGTAAAGCATCCAGGAAACACCCTGCTTTGCCACCCGCTAACTCGCACATGTTGCACAAAAGTAATGGCTCCACCTCGTGTTAGCAACCTGCTCACGAAAACCTTTCGACCATCTCCTTAGAACAACCCTAATGGTAACACCATTAGAAGGAGTCTTATTGAGTAAGTATTAATATTTTGTGTATTTTATAGATTTAAGACACTTTATAAAATTTTGTTATTTTTAAGCATACAATAGAGATACTTTGATGGGTGTCTTAAAAAAAAATATAATTTTTTAAAAATAAATTTATGTAAAAACTTATTTTAACAACTTTTAAAACATAATACATTTTCATAAAAGCAATACATAGAAATATATAAATCTTACCCTAAACCATTCTAATCTGAAGATATAAACCACATAAACGAGAAACATAAGCCAAAAGAGAAGAGAGAAGACACTTAATCTTACCCTAAATCATTCTAATCTAAAAATCCAAACCCCCAAAAAAACAATCGTTTACTGCTGAAACAAAAAACCACAATGAATATATGGAGAGGGAGAGAAACGAAGATGCTTACAGGGAGCAAGTTGTGGGATTTCGATGGACGAACAACTCTCCGGATGAGAGGAGAAGATATTGAGAGAGGTGTGATTTGTCCTGCACAATTGCAGAAAACACAAACATGTTAAGAAGTCCAATTAGGAAAAATGACAATCTTTATTCTCCTAAATTCTGTAACCAGCCCGTTTCGGAGCTTACGCAGCAGCAATGTCAGTAATATAAATTAAGTGAAGCTGACCTTGAAATATATGTCTGGAAAAAAGAGGAAGCAGTGGAAAGTTGTAAACCCCTTTTCTGTCACACGCTTCTCTGTGTTCGGAAATACAATCGCTCGGCAAGATGAGGCCCAAATCCTAGAGCACTTAAAGCAATATGTGTAACAGTGAACAAGACTTGCTTTTAATGAACTCGTGAACAAGACTAAGCAATCAAAAACGCTCTAACCGCAACAACATCGAAAACCAAAAACAGGATAATTATAACAAGAGAAAACGAACATCTCGATTGTGTTGCCAACTCAGCCCCAAAAACAACCATGATGCAGAATATTTCAGTTTTCCGGTCAGTGTTTTGCGATCATTAGTACAGGATATGGTGTTCCCTTAATATATAATGTACAACCAGACAAGTTCATTATGGAGGAATGGTAATTACGGCTCACGACTTCTCTCACCTTTAGCAGATTCACGGTGTTAAGACCAGCTGGACGACCTTTGGCTTCCTGCTTTTCCGATCAATTACTTTTGCAGTTCTTCCTTCCACAACCAACCTTTGAACACTTAACAGGCAAGAGTAGGAGTATGGCATGGCCCATGACTGAAATATACATTTAACAGGATCTTCAGTAGTTGAAGGAATTAAACCAGATGGATGTAGTAACTTGAATTATAACGAAGAAGAAAAAACTAGTTGGTAATATAGTTTACAGAAACACTACTATTGAATTTGAAGAGTGACAAAAAGGACATTAAATCAGTCACACTCTTATGATCGAATTCGAACCCCAAGAGAACTAGAAACATTGTTGGATGAGGCAAAGATAGACAACATAAAAGCATGTCTTACAAGGCAATGTCTATACTTCTTTTTAGCATCACATGAATAATGAAATGCATTACGCAGATGCTCTAAATGTCAGGAACTACGATAGAATTCCACAGACGCATCTTATATGATTCAGCCATATCAATAAAATTATCGACCATACTTTGCAGAAAATCTTTACATATGAAACAAAAACAGAGGAAAGGAAGGAGACAAGAGGAAACAAAAAGCTCACGTCTTTACATATTCTCCCCTTCACGATCGCACTCCAACCACAAAACCATATAACTGCAACCACGAGCTTCATTACTTAAATGATATCTAAAAGCTAGCGCAGGAAGAAGAGGAAAGAAGAAGGTACCTTTGTCCATCAGGATGTGTGATAACAATATCTAGATCTCCACAAGTAGCCTTCCCACGTCTATATGATCCTCCAGATATAATATTCACCTAATATATAAACAGGAAGGTGTGAGCTTTGATTAGAGAAGAAACGGATCCACGATTTTACAAATTAGGCAACAAAAATGATGTATGGCGTCTACAGAAAGCAGAATCAAGAGACGAAATCCATATCTTGATGACATAGGCAAACTTAATCCAGATAAATCTGAGCAAAAATCATACCTTGGTGTCTAGATTTTGCATAAACATCGGCGGCTATGCCGAAACTGTCTCTGCTCCGGAACGACGAAGGCGTTTCCAGAACATCGGCGGCGTGCCGAAACCGTCTCAGCTCTGGAACGACGAAGGCGTTTCTGGAATCAACATCGGTGGCGTGCCGAAACCGTTTCAGCTCCGGAACGACGAAGGTGTTTCTGGAATCGCATGCGAGAGGAAGAGAGAGACGGAAAAAACAACTACTCGGAGAATTTTTTTTTTTCATTCTATTAACTTTTTGGTCCACTCATAATTGGACACGTGTCCATTTTTAACTCGAAAAAAGATCTTAAATTAGACCTTGGTCTAAAATTTAAAACACTACTTACAAAATTTTCATTCAATTATATTATTAAGACCATTCATTTAGATCCTTAAAGATGACCATTGGAGTTGGTCTTAAAACCTTATCAAATGGCTCGTGGATAACGATCCGTTTTTTGGACATCTACCCAAGAATCCTTTAATGACTCTTTAAGGAGATGGCCAGAAGGTTTCCGTGCGCAGGTTGCTAATACGAAAGGGAACCGTTATTTTTGTAGAGCATGTGCAAGCCAGCTGTCACAACTACTTTCACGCGTCACTGATACCACTGTGAATTACACCTTTTTCCATTGCATTTCAGCTTTGTTAAGATTGTGTACATGCATATTTGTCGTAGCTTTCATATCATTTGCACCTATGTAAGGTTTAGGAAGTATTAGGTTAGGATTTTGTATTTTTAGAGTATTTTCCAGGTACCTAAGACATGGAGAAGGTTCGGTAATGGATGGAAGATGATTCACAAGCTAAATGAGCAAAGTAGACGGGTTTTCTGGAAGCATCAGTCAGCTGCAGTGGTTCACAACCCAATGTTGTTGGCACGAAGATTGCATATCAGTCGCATACAATGGACTGACCCTATTGGAGGATAGTTAAAATCCATGCAAGCAAACATTTTTGTCCACAACATCGAACATGTACTACGTGATAAACCCGATGCGACAACAGCTCGCAGAAGCACTTTACTAACGGCAAAGCCCGATGTGAGAAGCCGACACAAGTCACCCAAAGATCAAGACCTTAGCAGCTTGGCTCATCTCCGAAGAGTAGAAGTCTACAGCGGCTCGCCCAAAGACTTCAACATGATATGCGCATCGTGAAAGGTGGTCCCGATGTGTAGGTGTTTTCCACTTTTCCTATCAATACAGCTAGTGATATATCATGGTTTTTTATGATTTTTAACCATGCTATAAGTTCTTTTTATTGAGTCTTTTTGGTCTTTTTAGAGTCCTAGTAGAGTCTTTGCAGGTTATAGCATGTCTAGAGCATAATTGGAGATATTCAAGCTTTTTGGAGCATTGCAAGTTACAGCCCCGAAGTGTACAACTCAGAAGTGTTATTCTGGCTTTGGTGACACTCGTCACCAAGCTGGTGACGCTCGTCACCCCTAGAGGAAGGAGTCGTAGCCTGGTTTTTAAAAGATTGGGAAGAAATTGCAGTTTTGGCCCAGAAGTTCTAGTATTTGCAAAAAGGCTCTAGATTGTGTTTTAGCTGGTTTATATTAGGTTTTCAGCCATTCTTTGGCATATATCTTGTATCTTATTATTCTAGAAAGTTTTAGAGAGAGATTTGTAGAAGAGCTTTTGGAGAGACAAATCAGACTCCTTCAGAGCAGATTCCGAACTCCTTTATCTTTACTTCTTATTTCTTTTATGCAATATATTCTTTTCATGATGTTTGTTTCATTCACCATGTCTGAGTAGTTTGTTAGTTAAGTTAGGGCTTTCAAAGGTTGAAAAAGAGTTTGTAGAATTGCTATTCCAAGGAAGGGCCAGAGCTTGTGCTCCTCCTTGTTAAGGTTCTCAGGGGAGATCTGATCGGTTCATTGGTCCTTGATCTTTATCCCACCTTCCTCTTTCCAGCTGCCTTCTCCGCTCGGTCCATGGGGTTGCTAGCACTGGTGATTCTGCTCCCACTCCTTCTTTGTCTGTCTGACATTGTACCTATCAAGAACAACACTTAAAGGTGCGTAAGAACTTTGTCAACAAAAACAAGGAATCATAGGAATTACAGCTTTAAACAAACATAACTAGAAGACTCCATTCATGACTAGAGTATCTCGCTATGCATGCAAACGATTGTCAATCAAACCAAAACCCCAAATCGAATTGCTAAAGAATTGAATTCAGTAAGCAATAATATCACCACTTCTATATATGTCGAGAACAAGTTATGCTTAATCTGGGATGAAACAATGAAAATTTTAAAAATTCTCACAAAAAATCCTGGCTAAACAAGCTTCAAACTCATCTCTCTCTTTTCTAAACCAGATTTTAGAGAAATCTAACACCCTAGCGATTTCAAGCAAAACATCCAACAGATTCATGAAATTACTTAGCTCAATATCCAAGTAGAACTGGTGGAAGATGCAATTGAAACGTGAAAGGATCTAGAACTTTCTTAAACTTCTAAACAAAAACAAATTTTCTGGTTTTTTCGATGGCGACGAGAGAGAGTGAGAGAGAAGTGTGAAGTAAATAGTGGCTACCTAAAGAGGAAAGGGACAAGTAAGGTTTCCTTGGGGTGTCCAAAATTCTCGGCTAACCCCAACGGAGCAATTTGTTGCATTATCTGAAAAGGTGGCCCATGGGAAAGACCATTTCTCATATGGGGTTTGGAAACAAAGAAACAACTATGGCTCCCTGATATGCGACCACGGGTTGGCTGCACGATGTGACATCCCCATATAGATTGTCTTGACTTGGACTACGTTCCATATCGGGTTCATACCGTAGTGTTTGCCCAATATAAAATGTCCTGGAGGTTTATATCGAGATTAACCCCAATAAGACCCTGATGAAGTGCAAGACGATTTTTAAAAGCTTTGAACTGCTGAATCCAATCATCTCCTCTCCTTTATTGAATCTGAAAGGTACTTACCTAACCTAAAAAGCATTAATATACATTGAATAGGCTTGGGGTGCCTTCTAAGAGCGCCTGTTTTAAGTTGCATAGCTTGACTTTCATTTATCTTTTTCAGTGGTCAAAGGGGAAATAGTTACCCCTGAATCCTGTGGGAGGATCCTTACATTCCTTGACAATCATAGCAAGTTCAGCCAAAGACACAAAGGAGTCTCTCTCCATTCTTACCTCATTACCCATTTCATTGGTGAAATTGGTGTCTTTTTCACCCTAAGATAAGCAAAGAGAGTGGCCTTTCCCTTGCGTCTTGGCTTAACCACTACTTCGCCATTCATAGAGAGAACTGGTTTAAAAAAGGTACCGTCCAGAAGAGCTCCGAGTGTTAGCCCTTTTGCCTTGTCCATCTTACGTACTGCTTCTTTGGGCTCCTCATGGGCATCCATGGTCAGTTCTTCAAACAAGGATCAGAGGCAACTCCCATCAAAGCTTTCCCCATCGTAGCAAATGTCCAAGGATGGATAACTGACTGTTTTTGGGGTATCCTTAAGCTTCATAGACCAAACACGCTCATTTCCCTTGTCTTTTCCTCCCTTGGCGTCAAAGGTCATCACCACATTTCTTTCTAGACGCGATTCCACAACTCCGCTTTTGCAGTCAAATAAGCATCCAGCTAATGCTAAAAATGGCCTTCCAAGTATAAGGGTTTCTCCATTGTCTTCTTTCATTCTGATCACCACAAAGTTGGTGGGGAGAAAGGCATTACCAATCATGACGGGCAGATCCGAAAGTTTTCCCAATGTGCTCCTTTCGCTTCTATCCACTAGGCCTATCACCTTATCTTACTCCGTGTAGTGATAGTACCCGAGGTGATTGGCCGTGGCGAGAGACATCATGTTAAGGCTTGCTCCAAGGTCGCATAGACAGTCTTCGAAGATGCTATTGCCGAGTTGACATGGCAGAGTAAATGATCTGGGATCTCCTAGCTTCGGCATTACCAATAGCTCCTCCATCGGTTTCTTCTTAAGTGTGGCTGTGTCCCATTTCATTACTACGCATGCTTCAACATAAAGCTTTTCCTTGAGGGCCAAGAAAAAACAAAATTCTGGAACAGGCTTTGTTTTGCCAAGTCCCCTTATGTTTTCCTCCATTCCATGCAAGAGTTCAATAAGCGCGGCCTCTTTCTCATCGATGTCATGCCTTTTCCTCCTTGCTGTATGCAGAAGAGGGGGTTTGAAAGCTCTTAGGAACGCTTTAGCTTGTCTTTCTTGTGACAACCCTTAAAGCTTTTTCATCACCTGAGTCGCAATTAACTTAAACTTCTCCCCCCCTTCTTTGAATATTGATGTCCACATCGACTTAGCCCAATGTGAGGGATATGTTGAGGATTGTGGCTTGAGGTTGTCAATAGTCATGATTGGTTGGCAATACTCCTTTGGGTCCATCACAGGTTTCCCTGGAAGGTTCCCTGATTGACAAGTAGATGCAGCCCCTTTCCCGTTCTCAATGGTCTTCACCCTCACGGCCAATGTGTCGATTTTTCCAGTTAGCTCTGTGTGAACACCATCTATTTTATTATGGACCTCCGTGAATCTCTTGTGCATTTTGGTTTAGATGTGGGGTCTGCTGTTGGAGTGGTTGCTTAAGAGTTGTCTCTAAGTCGAAGCTTGCTGGAGTTGCTTGGTTTCCTTGTTGTTGAAAACCGGGTGGTACAGCAGCTTATTGCCATGGCTGGAACCCGCCTTGGTATTGGTTTCTTGGTACGAACCCTTGTTGATAGTTAGTAAATGGTCTTGGTCCTCCTTATTGTTGATGTGGATAGACTTGGTCTTGTGTGTTCGCCATGCTTGTGTTACGGTAAGACATGTTGGCATTGGGTCACCAAATGTTGTAATCGCCTTGGACGTAGTATACATCTTTGTATTGGACATCGTCACTGTCTTGTTGCTGCATGAACTCTCCCACGAAGTGCACCTCTTTTTGTGATTGGACGAGTAAGAGCTTCTCCATCTTGTCTGTGAGGTCTTTTATGAGCTTACGTCTTGCATCTCCGTCTTCTTTGGTTTTTCCCTGGTTTGCTCTATCGTGCTCTTCGTTGTAAGAGGAGTCTAACTGAGCCAATTTCTCAACTAGTTGGAGTCCCTCGTCTATGCCCTTTGCCAAGAAATTCCCGTTACTTGCAGTGTCTACTAGCATTCGTATCTTTGGGACAACACCAAGAGACTCTTGTGTGAACCCATGGTGAGGACATTCAATCTGGTATCCCTTAAAACGTTCCCAAACCTGGGAAAACATCTCATTTGACTTATGTGTGAAGCC